GTGTGTGTGTGTAAATTTTAGTGTTGAATGTAGTCAACATCGTGGCTATGTTCACTGTTAACATATCCTGCGAAGTCTGCATGTACTTCGAGGTACGGTTACGATTTCGTAAGCATGTATTAAAAGATGACGCTCACACCACCTCACGCGATTTCGTTAACTTTTTTTCTATAACGTAAATTTTTTTTTTTTTTTGGGTATGAATGTTAAATTTTATACCATTTTCTGATTTTGATTTTACAATGTTGTTTGGACAACTTATTACAACGAAACTTATTATAACGTAAAAATTTGAACCAGTTTTAGAGTTTATACAATTTTGTATTGTGTGCTAAGCCGTGTTAATTAATCTTATTTTTTTCTTCATGTTTGTAATATTTATTGACTAGAATGTTTTAGTTAAACAACCTGCTACGGTTACAATTTCATAAGGATGTACTAATTAAAAAAAAAATGTCGCTCACACATGACACACCTAACGCGTCGTGACTGTTTATCGATAACGTGAAAATTTGAACCAGTTTTAGAGTTTTTACAATTTTGTATTGTGTGCTAAGCCGTGTTAACTTAATCTTATCTTTTGCTTCATGTTTGTAATATATATTGACTCCGTTTGCTAAGTCGTGTTAAACAACAAGGAAATTAAAAATATATAAGATGTATTTTATTTTTCTACATAAAAATTACTTAATATTTCAGTGAAAAGTTCAACTAATATATAGTAACAAATTTTGCATGATAAACATGATTATGAATATTAGATAAATATAAACAAATAGAAAAACATATTAGAAAAGATAATAGAGGAAATATATAGTAAGAATTATTATTTAGTAAAACCAAATCTTAGCCAAAATAATTTTTTCTTTCTAAATGCAAATATTTTGACTTGGTAAATAGGATATGTGTCATCTTTTTTCAAAGATCATGCAATTTTCTTCTGTATCACTTTAACTTTACTGTGTTTAACCGATACAAAGAGAGGGAATTAAACATCCTCCGAAGTTACTACAACATAGTTGAAAGACAATGAAGCATAAAAAGATAGGTCACCGCGAAAGATGGATAGTGAATCCGAAGCATGTCTCGGATGCGTCAAGAGGGTCATCGCGGCAAAGCCGGAGATTCTCAAGTTAGTCACTTTCCTATGTGACTTTGAAGATCCCGACATGGAATTCGGGAATTCGACCACTCTCCAAGAGAGAGAAGAGGATTCGACCAGACTCAAAGTGCTGGGAGAAAGTGGACTTAAACTCGTCCACCGGGAGTAAGGTACAAGGTTTGAGAACCCAGAAAACTTATGTCTTCTCTCAATAGAAGAAATATCATCGCTAAGGACTACATGATTTGAAAATCCAGAAAACTTTAGTTGCCTCTCATAAGAATAGATATCAGGTTTAGAAAAACCTAAGGTAGAATTTGGGCTCGTTTTCAAACCATGGGTCAAATCCCATAAATGACCCAACCAGAATTTTAATGGGCCTAAAAGCCCACTCAACTTCAAGGCCGCCGGGAGGGGTGACCGGAGATCGCCATGAAGCCGCGGATAGGGCGAGGAGAATAGGCTCATCCAACTTCGGTCTTGGATCCGAAACACAGAGTCTCGAAGCCGGGTTTGAAGGGGGATGGATCCCGGAGATGACATCGGCACGCTTCGAGATCTATCCGAGCAAGATCTCGTGCCGTTGAGATCGGGATAGAATTTCAGCGAAAGCTGACGATAATGGAGGGTGACCATGCTGTGACGCGGTTGGGGTTTTCCGGTGGGAGCAGATCCGGTGCTGCCTCCGGCCAAAAGCGACCACACCGGTGGAGAAGCTAGGATGAGAATCGGAGCAGCAGACCCGAAGCACCAAGAGGCTGGATGGAGGACAATGGTGGAGAAGGGGAGGGTAAATCCGGCGGGTCTGGTGGTTCGGGTGGCTCCGAAGGACGGAGAGATTTCAGCAGTGTCGCAAGGCTCTTCCTCCGCCGTGAAGAGAGGAAGTTGAGGAGGTTCGAATGGCTTGTCGCCGCGGAGGGTGAAGGCGGGGAGACAGCCATTGAGTCAGTAAAGACCGTCGCCGGGGATTTGAAATAGGATCTCGCGGTGAAGGACGAGGGAGAAGCATCGGTTAGAGGAGGGGCGCTGCACCGTCGCCGGAGGGACACCGGAGATCGAAGTTCATTAAAAACCGATGGCTACCTTGGGGTTTGTGTCTAGGAGAAATCCTAGGGCGAACGCCTTTTTGCCTTTAGGTTACACACCTTAAACCTGTTTTTAATCTTCTAAACTATACTATCTTAATTTGTTAATTATGGACATGCGGTTTTTTTTATAAATATTTTACTATGGGGGCATTGAACGTGAGAATGTAATTGGTAATAATGAAGTGAAAACAGTTTTTATCCAAAAAAAAAAAAAAAGTGAAAACAGCAATAATATGAATTGTGAATTCCTTGAAGAATAAAAAAGTGAATTTATCTTTACCGAGGGAAGATTTTACATGAAAATAGTTTTTTTTTTTTTGCTAAAAATTAAATGGAAAATAGAATACTTAAACGAGAAAATTATAAGGTTCAACCAAAAAAAAAAAGATATGAGCAATTGTCCTTGTCACATTTCCAATAGATAAGGAGAAGAAGAGATGAGAACAATTGATTGGCAGTGACATGTTTTTCTATTAAGAAATTATATTATTTGTATAGGAGCAACTAAATTTCCAACATAAGGAGATGGGCTTATATTATTTTCTTATCCCTTTTTCAATAGTTATCCTTATTAAATTTCTTAAAAATATTGAACAGTAATTTTTTTTTAATGAAAATATTTGTATGTACTTTCATAGTAAAATTTGTTGAAATAAATGTGTATGTTATATAGTTATTTTAGCTTCGTTCGGGACCATGTTTTTGTTTTTGTCGTATGATGACGATTTGGTTTCTCTTTTGGTGATCTGGTGAATCTATTAAACCTAAACCAAAGTCTAACAACAAAAACAGATGCATCAATCATTCAAATCAAAGTCTAACAACAAAAGCGCAAGAATTAAAATTGCAGGAAACAAATAGATTAAAACACAGGAAAACAGCCTTCTTGATGAATGCAAGCAATGTTTTTTTTTTTATCAAAAAATAATCATACCGGTTTTACAAGAACAAAAAGTATTACAGTAAAATAGGTTCGTTCGTTTTGAAGTTTCAAAAAAGAAAAAAAATATAGGTTTCGTTTTTTTTGTTCACGACACGTTAAGTTAAATGTCCAGTGAAAAAAAAAATGTATAAGAAACCAAATTAAAAATAACCTTGAACAAGGTTTATGACTTGATCACCAGTCGTCAAAAACGAGATGAGAACTACTACTAAAAATTGACTGACTTTTTTTTTTTTTTTTGGGGCAACACGGTTGTTTAAGCTCTAATTAATTAATATATAATTATATATTGCGTGTACGAAATTATGAATAGAAGCTATCAGAAGTGAAGAAAAAGACAGCAGGAGATGCACAAAACAAACAATCAAACCTAAAATTTACACATCAGTAGAAAATATTTGATAAATCTACTTTCAAAACATAAATATGGTACATCTCAAAGAACCCGAGGAGAAAAACCAATAAAACCTATTTAAATTATGCAAGAAATGCAATGGTCATTGGTAAGTGGTCGCGGTAAACGTGGTCGTTGAGACCGTGGCGGCCGTGTACCACTAAACTGAACAACTCTAGTGAGTTTATCTTTAGCTCGTTCAATACTATTATGAGCTTCTATTGTCGTGAAAATCTACTTTACTAGTTTAAGTGTATGGTTAATCTTAACTATGTCTAGTTGCTTTCTCAAACTATATGAGTGTAAAGTCAGGAAAAAGACCAATTCCCTCGTGAATTTCCGAGCCCCCGCTTATTCATACATGATCTATTAAATTAGGCCAAAATCCCCATGAACTTTATATAATTTTGAATTTCCCCCATCATCTATTAAAATTTGGTGAATTTACACAAAACCGCAGACGGAATCTGTTTTCCGTTAACAGGTTGTGACGTGGACAGGTGGCTAACGGGGTTCGGTTCGGTTTTGTGTTGACCAAAATCAACTGATTTTTTACTTGATTAACAACAAAACGGCGTCGTTTTATATTTGGGGAAAAAGTGATAAATTCTCTGCATTTCTCAATATTCATCTCTCTAAAAATGGCGGGTCGATTACAATCTCATCAATTACCAATGGGCTCTACGTTTCCGGTAAACTCGAGCAACTCAAAGAACGACCACCGACAATGGCTGCTCGTGCTATGCCTTACACCGGAGGCGATATAAAAAAATCTAGCGAACTCGGAAGGATGTTCGACATCTCCGTCCCTGATCCCACCTCTTTCCAAGGACCAGCGTCGATTTCGTCGGCGACGGAGGAGG